AATTTTGTATGTCGGGTTATGAGATCCGGTTAAGTAAAATCTCAGATCAGACTTTAAACAGCGATTACGTAACTGATTGTGGTGGTTATGCTAGGGGGGTTATTAAGAGTGTTTCAATCAGCGAAGGGATAACGATTGTTAGAACGATTATTAACTATTGTTAAAAGTATTTAGTTGATGTATTGATTTATGCTAATAAAGAGAAACCTTAACCTACGTGTTAGTTTATCGGTTTAACCAAGCTCTCCCACCGATTGTAACACTGGACTAACTTCGGATAGATCGACAGATCGATCTGCTGAATTTTGGTTGCTATCCTTCATTATCAAATGACACCGAACACATTCATTAAATATTACATCGCTAACTCTCATTCCCAAAAACACCATTGATCCATAATTATTACGATTCCTAAATAGACCTGTCATTTACAACCCTACAATATGTACGTGTCTAATGTTTCGTGTTCCCATTCCTCTCATTATATAACAATAATAGGAAAGGGAAGCTATGTATGAATAACTATATATGGAATATACTTAATAAAGTAGTAGTGTACGTTGAGTAACAAGGTATGTATGTACGTACGTACAAGGAAATAATATAATTCTGATCAAATAAGGAGGGAGAAAGTTAAAGGAAATGCGGCGAAGCTAGGTTACCGTTCCTGGTACAAAAATAAATATTTGCATATAATAAGTAAATTTATAAAATTCAGCAATAAAAAAAATTAAAAATAACTAATTTTTGGACCCGTTGTTGAACGACAGGCTATATCTGATACAGTAAGTGAAAAAACATTGGTCGTCATCTCATATATGCAGTGCAGGACAACATAAACCAACACCCTTTTATATGTATTTTATAAAAAATTTTTATTTTAACTTTAAGAAGTTATATTAATTTAAAGTTTTCTAAAATTTGGTGTTTAATACATAAAAAAAGAAAGCTACATATATGTTATTTTTAACCAATCGAAATTGATTATATAAATCAGCCAATCAAAATTATGTAATTTTAAAATTTGGGGGTCCGTTAAAGCCAGGTTCGTTTACATAATGATCTACAAATTGCATAAATTGCGTTCTTGATTTCTTATAAATCAATTAACCCTAACTGCATCAAAAAAACTAACCCTAAACGAACCTGGCTTTAACGTTCCCCAAAATTTGGCGCAAGTGTGCTTGTTTATGCTGTCCCGCAATGTAGAAACTTTGGATATAATAATAAAAAATGAATTAATTCGAGAATAAATAGAAGTAAAAAAAAAAATAAAAAATAAAAAAAATAAAAAAATCCTATTTCTATTTTAAAATTCCGAAGAAGGTGATAAAATTAGCTTTTTTGATAAATATCTGGTATGCGTAATGCACCAAAAATTTTAATATAGTACAGGACATCTAATCACATCAAAACGTCGAAATTTGAATATATATGTGATTATATATGAGAGTGGTGAATTTTAAAAATTATATATATAATAGTGCGGAAATTTTACAGAGAGAACAAAATAAATAAATAAATAAAAAGGAAAATTTTATAAATTAATTGAAGGAGTATTTTAACGCTTGAAATTCACCAGGGTGCTATATACCAAAACGTACTAAATAAACAGGATTGGGTGCTCTAAGTATAAATGTCCAAAACCTCACAAAAACTAAGATTTGGACCTAATATCTAATCTACATTATGTTATATATAAAAACCCCCTCCATCTTAAAATTACAGCCTAACCCTAAAAATTCTTAGGCCGGTGAATTTCACCTCTGGTTAAATCTATACTATTTCTCAATTAAATATAAAATTTTTTTAAATATATTTATAATACAAGTGCTGAATTTTTAACTTTTATTAATAAAATAAAGCTCTAAATTTTTAAATTTATTATAAAGTTAAAGAAATTTTAACCAAAATAAAAATACCTTTTCAATAAAAGGGTTTTTTTAGAAAACCTCTCTATTCTACATTCTTTAGGTCTTAAACAATAGAATGATTTTTTTTTAAAAACCATTTTTAGTTAAAAAGTTATTAAGCTTTTATTGAAGCAATTATTTTTTGATGCGATTAGATGTCCTGCATAATTAAACTATGAATATAACTTATACATGTATATTTAGTACAAAAGTATATCGATATGTCGTGGAATTGTACCGATTCAGAATCGGGCTGCCCGGGTAATGTTTAGGTTTAGAATATAAAAATATTACTTTTGGTGGTAAAAATTACAATAATCTCATCCGAGACTGTCCTGATTCTGGAAAAATTCCAATCCGAGGAACAACATATATATGCTATTGCAGGTTATTCACACTGTTGTACATATTATACCATTTTTCTTTTTTTTTTTTTTTTGAAAACCCTTGGCATGAAGCCTAGGAACGCCATTGGCGTACAATTGTAACCATTTTAAAATGATACTTATATGGGTCTTCATTGAAAATTGAAAACTCATCACTATACTCTTAAAAACTGTGGATGTGCTTTTTTTTTTCCTAAAAAGTTCATGGGCTCTCAGACTCTTGCCAACATGCTACGAAATCTTTGGAAAAAGCGAGTTTATCTTAAATGTCTAGTTCCTTCGTTATTTGTAGTATTTTGTTTTTTAATAATACTTTCTGATGCTAAAATTATAACAAATTCGTATTATGAAAATGGATCAATAATGGTAACCCAAGTTGATACTTATTCTGATAATACAATTTTAGTATTACTTAAATCTAGTATAGAATCATGCGCAGACAATACATTATACTTTCGTATAATTTCTACAGACGGAACTGTGACCAAATATGATTATTACAATAATACTATACCTTCGAATAATTTTTGTACACCCACAACAATTTATACAAATGGAACCGGTATTATTATATTACCATCAAGAACTTTTGGGTCGTATGGTGATAATATCGTTATTTATGCACTATCTAAGCCATTAATCCTTGTAACATATTATTGCAATTATCCTACGCAATCCTATCAAAGGTGTGGAATTATAGTAGATTGGTTCTCTAAAAGTGTTCGAGGGTGAGCTAAATTTGATGATTTTTTCTAGATGACGAAATGAATAACTTATTAATTGTTAATTGATTCATTACGTAGAGATGTGATTATATTTAGTAAAACTTGTACAGTTATCCAAATAATTAAAAGCTATAAGGGCGGTGGATTTTTGTACACATGTTACGATAAAACAACCAACATTTTAACTTGGACACCATATATATTGTAAGTTTTCTTTGGTAATAATTTTACGTACTAAAGTTTTAGCATTTAAAAAATCTTAATCTTTTAGGAATACAAATGGTTCAGTCACGGAAAGATCAAGTGGCCAAACCAGCGAAATTTCTCAGATTTCCAATATGACACAATTTTCAAAATATATCAACATTTTTCCTATTGAGAATGATGATTACGGATTAGCTTACACTAAAATTGTGCCCCAGTCTGGACTAGGGATAACAAGTTCAACAACTAAATGGTCACTTTACGTAATGTGGATTTCCAGCAAAGACTCTTCGATGACAGGAGATGTATCTATATATGATTCACAGCCCGGTACAAATACTATTGATTATAATTTGTACCAATGTTCTGTTGCACATGATGCAATTGGATACAACTGCTTAGTATATACTAAACGAACTGATAAAACTGTATACGTCGTTATTAACTTTTGGATATCTGGCAATGTCAATAAGACGTATGAAATTAGTGTAAATTTACCTGCTCCGTATACTACATATAATGTGATAGATTCCGAATTTTTAAGCTATGGAGGTTATATTTTTATTACTAAGAGCTCTACAAACACTAGTGAAGCTGGCAGTATCAAAGGGTTTATATATTACGATAATGGAACTCTATATGGTCCTTGGGACATCCCTGATTTTACATCCAATAGTCCGATTGTTGGCGATTCCCCAAACAATACTATATGGGCGATTACCCAAAACGGGAATAATAATAATAATAATAGTAATTCAAATAGTTCAACTTGGACAATTGCGTCATCCGACTCGCTATCAGATTTCCGTCCAGGTAAGCGATAGTTGAAATTGTTACAAATAGTGTAAGCTTACTGATCTAAATCTACTTTTTTTATTTAATAATAGATGGAGCGTTTGGTTCAGTCGTCAGTCTTTTACCAGCTCCGAACACAGTCGTTACGCCACCAGTTTCAATGATTGGCTTAATGTACACTATTCCAGTTAGTAAATCCACCGGAAGTTTCAAAATCTGGGAAGTAAACATCTCTGGAGATGATGACATTTTACGTGGCCAAATTCCAGCCTCTGATGTTAGAGTTAAAATTGACAATACAAATGTAACTGTAAGCCTGTTACCAGGCTATACAACGAGTGGTAATAAGAAATATTACATTACGGTAGATGATGACGCAATAAAATATGCTGCGGCTGATCAAAATATTAATGGTATCGACAGATTAATATGGAATTTTTCTACATGTATTTATCGTGTTTGTAATGTGCATAGTTGATTATTTTCGTTACTTTATTTTATTAATACATTTACATGCTTTATTTTAGCTGCGGCTACTGATTTCTCTTCGGGTAATTATAAAATTTTAAATACTTATTTCTTGCACCTTCTTGCAAGAAAATTTGTCTGTAAATTGTCATAAATATCAAACATATGAATTGTAGTGTATATCACGTGTATAATAGTGAAAAGGTGTAAGAGATTGCAAAAAGACAAATATCATCATTAATTAACGTAAATATAATGCATAGGTGGTGCATCTACTATCATTCGTCTAACCTCCGACGGAACTAAACAATACGTAAATTTATCACCAAATGATCATTCTACATTTGCCAAAAATTTGGGTAATGAAATTGCCACGGCTCTTGAATGTGATTCCTCGCGTATTATAATATCGACACATTATCAATACAGTAATTTTAATAATTCTGGCGATCAAATTTTTATGCGTGTTAATATCGCGCAAGGCCGTCAAGAACTGGATAGAAGTGCATCTTACCTTGCTAATGATTTAAATGAAATGATCACGTACAAGTCTATTTCACCAATTTCCACTGGTACCACCTCTAAATACATTGATCAATATAATGGTGCTTGGCCATTACGTAAGTTCTGATATTTACGATATTTATTGTATATTTACTATATAGCTATAAATCATTAATTACCACCCATATGTAGCAAACCTATGGGGTAGATACAAATCTACCCTTATTTGCATTATTGTTGGATTTGTCCTATTGTGTGCTTTATGGTACCTAGCGCATCTTAAGCATTACAAGGTGAGTAGTCTATAAATATGAATATACTTATTTATTTCTTTATTTTTTTGTATCATAATTATGCCAAAATATTCGTGGTTTTTTATTTCAAAGGACGAAGTTGCAAAAGAGAGAATACAGCAATTTGCAGTATTCAACTTCCTGGTCACCATTGTGCCTATGCTAATATTGATAGATCTCGTATTAGATGTATTATTTATTACTTTTCACGGAAAGGATGAAAAATGGATTTTGCCTTTCAGGTTTGTATATTCTCTCAGCAATAAAATGTTTTTTGAGATCGTTCATGATCATTGACAAATTAATTAAGTATTTTTTTTTTCAGTATTATTTTCTTGGCGGTTCCTATCGGTTTCTCCGCTATATTTACATCCATAATTATTAATCGCGAGCTCAAAGAGAATGAACAGTATAGAAAATGGTGGATGAAGCATAGTTGCATTGCGAAGGTTTTAACACTTTTGTCTGTAATCGATAGCGAAGCTTTGAACGTGGCATCTTCACATGCTTTTATTGTTTCACTAAATGCATCTTATTCACGAGAAGCATACTACCGGATTTTCTATGCTTCCGTTTTTGTTATGGTTATCGAAGACGTACCTCAATTTATACTTTTGGTAAGCAAATTAAAGATGCATGTGTAATATATGGTGGTGTTGTTAGTGATAAAATTAATTTGTTCCATTTATATAGGTAATTTATCAAAAAGTTACTATCATCCCAGCCATCCTTCCGATTATAACACTTTCCTCATGCATAATCCTAATAATTGTCAGAGTCATATCAACGATATATATGATGTTCCACTGTGAACAAGATTATCTACTCGATAGTGAAAAAGTGGGAGAAGGCAGTAATTTATTTATTTATTTTTATACATGCAAAGTTTTTAATTTGGAGTCTAACCTTATTATTAATGTACAACACTTTATCACAGTTAGGAAATCGGAAAAGTCACAGCTCCAGTATGGTCAGGATAAAGTGTTGAATGGAGGTTGATTAAGAGAGAATATTGAGTAAACGAATACAGTGATTAATGTTAGGAAGGCTCGACGGGTATTTTGGATAAATGAAATCGGGGTTAAATTAGTTGTTGGATAAGGAATAAATAGATCAATAATGTAACCAATAAATCTTAAATACCGGTAAATAAATAACAAGTGAATCATGTAATAAATCGATAAAGTCTTAAATAAATTAATTAATGCAATTAAATAAGTGGTCGCGAATTTGAATTCAAATGATTCAACAAATTATAATAATCAAATAATATAATGATTTTATAACAGAAATGTGAGGATTCGATTATACAAATGTTTATAAATTTGCTTTCAACTTTGGAATGCTTAATAACTTATATTTTATGTTAAAAATTGAAGTATTAAAAGACTTATTGAGGCAAAAAGCAATTTTATATATATATGGTTTGCTATACATAAATTAATTACAATACTCGTCAAATTGATACATGTTTGGAAATTTTTTTTTAGTCATAATGGTACAGTAAATTATGCAATTCAATATAAGCACTTATTCATAATATAATCTATATAAATCAAAAAATTTAATTATTTTAATAAATATTCTAATTTTTTCAAAAAAATCAAGATATATCTGTACTTCTTTAAAGTTATTAGAAAAGAAATTTATGAGAATTTGCTTATCTAATTACACTCAAATGAGGTTGTTTTTTCTCAGGTAAAAAAAGTAAAAATTTTTCTATTTCAGAAAAGGCATTAAAATTTTGATTAATTAATTTCTCTAATTGAATCATATTTTGTTCTTGCTGTAAGTTAATAATTATTTGATCGAATTCACACTTTTGATAAGATTTTCCTGCATCATTAAAACTGCAAGGTCAAGTTAATAAACATTCATGAGATAAGAAAATAAAATTGAATAGAAAATTTCAAATGTATTTAGCAGCAGAATAAGGCTGTTCTCTGTGAAACATTTCATCATTAATCAGTTGATTTATCTTTAATATCATAATCTGAAAAGTGCATTTAACATTTGAATTAATTTCTGGTAATCCAAGCATGCACGTATTTAATATGCAAGGCTCTATATTATCTCTATATTTCGGAAATTCCATTTTATACTGGTTGTCTACTTTAGAAATAGGAAGTTCACCACATTTGAGCACCACAGGAAGTTTGTCTGGTCAAAATAAAAGTTTATAGACTGACCAACAATGATCCACCCAATTTTTATGGGACTGTTTTGATATTTTTTATGTAAAGAATTTTATGATGAACTCTGATTTAAGATATATGCTCATTCATATAACCTATTCGTAAAGAAATAATATCTCTATTACTTTTGTCTATAATTGAGGCAAAGAAATAACAATAATATTTGTAATTTCATTTAAGTCCATAAACCGCATGGATAGTGAATGAACATATGTCGCATTTTTTGAAAAATCCCAATTTAGTGGAATATCATTGACACCTGCTACAAAATACAAATAAAATTAAAAGTGAACATTATTAATATATAGTACATTAATAGTATACCTTGTAAAATACGATGACCTAGAATATCAAAAATTTCATTCTGTAAATTATCATCTAATATATCAAAAATTGGATAAATTTCATCGTGTTCAATAATATCTCAAGCATCACGATTTTTAAGAGATTTAATCCAAGATTTTAAAGAAAAACTGTTGATCTTTCCTGTTTTTCCTGTACTTCGTAACATACCACTAATGACATTTTATTAATAATAGAAATAAATAATAATAATAAATAAATAAGAAAATATAGGGTTCGGGGCAGGGACGATGATTTTTTGTGGTGAGATAACACAAATTTTGTGGCGGGATAAGGTAAATATTGTGATTTTTTGTGGATCAATTTGAAGCGATTTTGTGCAATTTTGTGGTGATATAAAGTAAATTTTGTGATTTGTTGTGAATAAATTTGAAGCGATTCTGAGAGGTAATTTGAATTTTGTAAAATTTTGTAATAACGGATAAAATATTTTTTATTGTTCTGTAAAAAGTTCTATATAAAAATATAAAAAAATCTAAAAATATATAAAAAAAACGGACTTTCTATAATTTAATCTCGGTTAAAATACATCATAGATAATTGTTTAAGTGACTCTTTAGATAAATTTTGGCGATCATTATCTAAAAGAGTACTATATAAAGAAAAGCTACGCTCTACAGCACAGCTAGATACAGGTAGCCAAATATAATTGAGAGCAATTTGAGAAAGAAGAGGTAAACGAATTGCTAGATTATTCCAATATACATCCAATTCATTTTCATTAATATTATCAAGTTCCAATCCACAATAAATGCCCCATTCATGAATTAAATCATCCGAAGGATTATTTAATTCTTGAATAATTGAATATTGCCAAATATTACGTCGCTCAATATTTCCTGTTTTAATAAATTTAGGATTAAAAATTCGGGTAGCACGAAATAAAGGGCGGGCAGGATGATTTGGAATATGTAATAAAAACTTGTCATATGCAGCTTGAAATGCGGTACGAAAAATTAAGTAAAAATCTAATGGATTAAAAAAAAGATTTCTAATAAGTGCATCAAGTTCTGTACCAAAATGTGTTGCAACTCGATTAGACTCAAGATAAGCAGTAAGATTTTCAAATCTTGATTCAGCATATGGAAAAACTGGTTTGTTTTGTTGTTGAAAAAAATCTAAATCATGAATAAATGGCTTAGCATAAATTGAAATAAAATTTGCTAAAACTTTAATAGTTCCAAATTTTTCAATATCTTGCAAAATTTGATTGATTTCACCTAATTTTTCATTTGCTGAATCATTTTCAAATTCAATTTTAAAAAAACCTTGCCAATATTGAAGATATTCTTTAGTATAAAAAACCATTTTAAACCAACTATTCCATCTTGTTTTAGTTGGTAATGGGATTTTACATGGTGATAAAACTCCATTAGCAGATAAATAAGCTATATATCTATTTCTTCTTGCTGGTGATTTGGTAAAAAAATCTTTAATTTTAGATAAAAAAACTTTTAAAAGTGAAATTTGAGGAATATTTTGCCAAGTTTCTCTAATTAAAATTATAAAATAATTAATAATAATAATAATAATAATAATAATAATAATAATAATAATAATAAATTTATTTACCCAATTAAATTTAATATATGTGCTGGGCATGGTAAATGTATTAATTGTGGCATAATTGGTTTTAAAACATCATTATAACATTTTTTCATATATGAAGCAGAATCTGAAAGAAACAAATAAGGAGTATTTAAAGAAATATTATAAAAATATAATATAGGAAAAAGAGTTTGTGCAATTGTTGAATTATTAAC